AGATGGGTGAAAAGGCAGCAACATGTGAGGTCATTAATCGACTAGTTCATGCACTTGAGGACAGTAATGAGAGGGTCAGGTGGAGTGTTTGTGAAGCTCTGGGTAATATGGGTGAAAAGGCAGCAACAAGTGAAGTCATTAATCGACTAATTAGTGCACTTGGGGATAGTGCTCGGGACGTCATGTCGAGTGCATGTGAAGCCTTTGGCAAATTAGTTGGACAAGTAACTACGGGTAATATGATCAATATGCTGGTGGCTGCACTGAATGACCAGCTGAATGTCCAAAATTCGGAAGTCAAACGCAGTGCATGCGACGCTCTCGCGAAAATTGGTGAAAAAGCAGCAACCGATGACATAATCAACGGACTTATTACTGTATTGATGGATGAGAATCCAGAGGCGAGACAGAGTGCATACACCGCTTTGGGAAAAATGGGAGAAAAGGCAGTGACCGATAAAGTGATCAGCAAACTGGTTACTGTACTTTCATATGAGAATCCAGGTATCAGATGGAGCGGAGATGACATTGGGAAAAGAATAGGTGAAAAAGACGGTACCAAAGATGTGACTAATGAACCGACGACTGATCTTTGGTCTAACAAAATTACAGAAACGGACGAGATTATTGACGCTCTTGGAAGAGTTCTTCCTTCGTTTTCGGCAGTGACACAATTACATTCCGATACAGTTCAAAAGCTTTATTATTGTATTAATCGACTTACGTTGCGTCATCTGAAGACTGTTCTTCCGGAGCACTTCATCAAGGTATTTTTGTATACAAAAAATCCAGCGTGGCTGCCAATTGTAGTACACGTTGCACTGTTGCAAGGAACTGCTGTTTGTGTTATTGACAACACTGTTGTGGTGTATGGCAGTGACAAATGCGTAGAGTTACCTCTTTCTAGTGAAGAAGAACGACAAAAATTGATTAAAGCGTTCGTCGATCAAGTGGAAAGACTGCATTCAATTTCCGAGATAGTGTCGAAAGCTGAACCAAAACCAAAAGGGGTGAATATTGCTTTTTTGTACGATTTGATTTTTCGATCCCCACAAGGGGCTAGAACTATTTGCTCGGTAATGAAGCGTGCATAGATCCATATATACATGCATAAATGTTTGACTACAGCTATATACGAGTGGAAAACCATGCAATAGTTTTTGATTTCGATTCCAGTTTCAAATTGAAAACAACATAAACTCTGCAATCATGCAACCCAGATACTTTTTGTTCTTGAAATAGTGTCGATAGTTTCGAGATCTCGAAAGAAATGATAGTGTGTAATGTTTATAAGTACCAGTTGTTTCCTTTGACATTGACGTTACCTGGATTCACTTGGAATTATTATAGTCACGCAGTGCTATTTAGATTCAGCGAAATCAACTAGTCATTCATCCTCATCCTCTTTCAGTTCCAATCAGTCCTAATGTTTGGAGGGTGTGGGTGTGGGTATGGATATGGGTGTTGTTTAAGAGATGATCAACGCTCGCATCTACACTCACATCCCACACGCTGATAAGAAGCAATTCATTATGGGATATTATTAAGCGGTCAGTAAAATAAATGAAATGGTCAGTAAAATATATGAAATGATCAGTAAGATAAATGGTCAGTAAAAAATGTATAAATGATCAGTAAAAAGATTAAATGGTCAGTACTTAGATTATCACTCATATAAAAAAAAAGATTGGAGAAAATCTGATTTTAATCGATTTTTTTGTGATTAAAAATCGATTAAAATGGAACAGTTTCAACCAGGTTTTTAATCAAACTAGTGATTAAAATAAATTAAATTTATAAATATCCATTTTAACCGATTAAAATTTTTTCATTGACTATTTTACTCAATTTTAGTCAGATTATTCGATTTTTAATCTATTAAAATCGATTAAAATTTTTAAATCGATTTTAATCAATTCTAATAGTTTTTCTTTTTAAATGAATAAGTACCAATTGATATCGAGTCTTGAAGCATGGAATTTATGTCAAAGGTTGATCTAGAATCATATCTACTAATTTTCCGAGGCAAGGAGTCCGAAAAAGCGATCGAACATCTGAGTTTTCAACATAAAGTTTGAGAAAACGCATTTTACCGTCGCCGCCATTAAAATTAATATTTATAAATTTAATTTATTTTAATCACTGGTTTGATTTAAAAAATCGATTAAAATTAGATTTTTTCCAATCTTTTATTTATATGAGTGATAGTCTAAGTACTGACCATTCAATCTTTTTACTGATCATTTATATACTTTTTACTGACCATTTATCTTACTGACCATTTCATCTATTTTACTGATCATTTAATTTATTTTACTGACCGCTTAAATAGTAGCCATTCATTATACATCTAAATAGCATAAAACAATTGTTTCATATTAGTCAGGTTAAAACAACAGTAGGCATTGATGCAAAAAATAAACATATTCTTGATACAAAGTATATTTGTCCTGTGTGCTCATTGATACTACGGGATCCTGTACAATTGGGCGAATGTGGCCACCGACAGTGTCAATCGTGTTTCGATGCTCAACATGAGTAAGTTTCATTATCAATTTGTAGTATTATTCTCCATTATTCTTTTTCAAGAATAACAATTAAATGTCCACTATGCCAATCTGAATCATCACGAACCGAGGTAATAAATCTCTTCATAAATAAAGAGAAAAAACATCTGATATCTGTAGATTCTGCTTGATCGAGGCTTCAAAAATGATATGAAATCACTACCTATTGATTGTTCTTTTTGTCAATGGACTGGCGTCTTATATAATTATCAAGTAATTTATTTTATATTAATTTTATTGATGAATATTCTATCTTTTTCTCTCAAAGGAACATCTAGATGAACATCATTCAAATCTGAAATGCGAACATTGTGGCAAAGAATTCAACTCGGTTAACAAATACAATGAACATAAAGTCTCCGAATGTCAGAAACTGATTGTCGATTGTATATTGAAAGACATTGGTTGTAATGAACAAGTACGGATATTTTCCAGATAAAAATAAAGTCTGAAAATTTTTGTTCTTAAGATTATCCTTGCCAAAATAGAAGATCATTATTTAACTGAACAGCATCAACATGCCATAATGAAAGTTGTTCGTCAAATGTTATTGCAATTAAGCGATAGACAAATAGATAATGATCTTTCTCGAATAACAACTGCAGAAACTAGTAATCCAGGCACAGCTCAATTACAAGAACTTTATGAAATGCTCAACATCTTGTCATGTGGTATTGAAACATTGAACAATGATCAACAGCGTCTAAGCAATGAATCACTTCGAATTCAAGTAACAATTCCAACATTGACAGAAGAAATACCAAAACTTAAGTTATCAATTGAAGAATCAAATGCTTTTCTGGAAGGAGTGAAACATAATCAAGACATTCTCAATCAAGATTTAGCATCAGTGCACGAAAAAATCGATAATCTCCGATACGTTTCATATGATGGAATCTTGGTATGGAAAATTACAAACTTTCAAGAGAAAATGAGTAAGTTGAACAATTACTCTTACGCTCAATCATAAAAGCAATAAAATAATAAGATGTTATTTGGTTTCTATAACATCGACAAATAATACATATGAGACTATTGCAAGCCATTTATATCATTTGACTTCAACTTTTCTTAAAAATTTCATTTATCAGTAGAACGCTTTCGTGTATTGGGGTAGATAGTGCTACTAGAGGGATGAAGGAGATCGGTAGTAGTCTGACTACTATTATTAAGAATAGCTGAAATTACGAAAAATTGGTAATTTAAACTTATGTTTGAGAATTATCGAGTCATTGTAAATGTGCTAAAGGAACTGTGAACAGTTTCTTTTAGAGAAACGGATCGAGGATGGATCTAAGCGGAATCATAAGCTATTCAATTCTAATAAGTATTTACTTTTAGGGCGATCTTTATAGCAGAGTTTTGAATTTTAAAAATTTAATTTTTTTAAAAAGCTGAATTATTCAGGCTGAATCGTGTACTTTATTACTTTTATATGAATTGCACATCTAGAAGCTATATTTCACTGCTTTAAACAATATCCGATTCATTAGAATCCGTAAGGTATGTAAACAAGGTTTTGAATAGTTTATCAATGATTATATAATATGTTAATCTTTTATTAAGTCTATTTTTCAAAGAATATCTTCTGTTCATGCATGAAGGACGGATTAAAGCTTATTTTAACCTTAGTAAACTTACCTTTGGCACTCGTAAATGATTTTCACTTCTAGTTCGATGAGTCTTTCAAGGAGTTTTCGATTGATATTAGATACATCTAGATTTCTTTTTGTTTTGGTCGAAAAAAACGATTTTACTGCCAAAAAACCGCAGTTTCTTTGGGTCTACCTTTTGGCTATAATTCAGTGAGGCTTCATTGACGTTTTCATTCGAAAAAAAAATTTTACAGTATAACGGACAGTTTTTACCAAATCTACGACCATGAATACATCAGCTTAATTTATTGCTGTTGGACATGTCCATGTGAAATTCAAGTGAAAAAACGACAATATTTTCATATCTTTGAACGATAAATACTAGCTAGAAGACCGATTTTAGCAGCCAAACTAGTCACGCCTATAAAGGATATTTTCTGAAAAAATTATTGAATTCGATTGAGAATCCAACGTGATACAATCATAGCTATTTTTTTTATTCAAACAGCACAAATGATTTGAAATCGTCTCATATGTGATCGAATATCATATTGAACGTAATATATAATTACTCTTGAATACAATATATGACTATAATCTATTGATGCATTGACGAAATAAACTGTGAATGATGTCGATCCTTTAAATTTCTTCACATTTCCTTCTGTTCTTGTTCACAAAATTATTTTTTGCTTAATTTCTAGTTGATGCTCAGTCTGAAAGGCAAACATCTATTTATTCACCTCCATTTTATTCATCTCCAATTGGTTATAAAATGAGAGCTCGTCTTTATTTAAATGGTGATGGAAATGCTCGCCGTACACATATGTCACTCTTTTTTGTGCTTATGCGAAGTGTAAACGATCCAATTCTCAAATTTCCGTTCAACTATAAAGTCACATTTTGTTTGTACGATCAAACGCCTGCACAGCGACATATTATTGATTCATTTCGACCAGACATTAGATCAAGTAGTTTTCAACGACCTCGATCGGATATGAATATAGCTAGTGGTATACCAAAATTTTTCCCATTGGAAATGATTCAACAAGGAGGAAATCCTTATGTACGAGACGGCACAATGTTCATCAAAGTGATGGTTGATTTTGGTGACATGCCTAAAACGCTTTTGCCTTACGCTTTGAGTCTCAATCCAGGTCTACCAACTCATGTTCAACAAGCAATGATCAAGCAAGAAGCCGAAAGAAGATCTCAACAACAGGCTAGCGAGCAGCCGCAGATACCTCCAAAATAGTCTACCGTTTAACTTACACAAAAGATTGACTCCATAATCAAGAACAATGAATGATTCAGAATAAACCAGTATTTTGTATTTTTTTAATAACTTCGTCACATTTGATTCGATCTAGCTAATTTTTTTTCATTAGAATCTCCATTCGATGCTCTATAAAACTCTATATAAACAGTTGTTCTAGAGCGAACTATGACAAACAGATAGATCAGAAACTTAGGACGTCTAAGAGTATCAAATTTCAAAGACACATTATTGGAGTTTCCTATGGTTTTTTGGACAGCTGAAACGATATCCTCTTTTATGGTGTGAGTGCGGATGCGGGTCATCTATTAGTTTTTCTTGATTTATTTACATTCTATGAACATTTTTCTGCTTCACTCCACGGAATCGTGTTGATTCTGCCGAAAAAACTTTTCTGTTGTTCTTTAACATGGAAAAACAAATTCGAGAGTGGCTAACTTATTTTTGTTGCAATGCAAACATTGTCGCTTGATCTGAAAAGCAACATAGAAAAGGTGCTATGAAGGTAGGAGAGGTTGTCGAAAAACTTACACTTTCTATTTTCTTTGGAAAACTATATGTGAATTCCACAAAAAAACCAACGCATCATTTAATTCAACATTTTTATTATAAAAACAATGTTAATGTATTCAAGAAATGATTATAACTACTATTTATATCATAAATAACTTTTATTTATAGAAAAAAGAACTATCAGTTAATAAGAGTATACATCAGCTTTGAAACATAATGTTTGTTTATTAATAACAAATAAACTATTCGAAAAATGCCCATCTCATGAATAAACTATACAAAAATAAACATTACATTGATTTAATTTCATCTGTTTTAAACTGTAGGTTCACCATCAGTTACTAAATATTTTTAAAGAAAAATAAATTTATATATGTTGAAAGAAGAATCTCAACGTACTAGAGGGAATTTCGCAAGAAAAATAGTAGAAAAAAAAAGTCATGAGAAATATAATTTTCATGAATCAGCAGTTGATGCTAATTTACATGGTTGCGTTGGTCGTTTTATTGGACATCCTTCAGCAAATGTAGCATTTTCATTTTTTGGAAATGATGACATGACTAATGGAGTCTAAATAGGTTCAGGCTTAATGAAAAATAAACAAATTTCAATATTTAAATAAATAAAAAGAAATTTTTTATATACTGCAACACAATTAACTCGAATACCTTTCTCTAAAAGTTTACGTACTAAACCTTTGGTAAAACTAATAATGGCAGCTTTTGTTGTAGCATAATCTAGGATTTCTGCTGATGGATCATAACTAATAAACAATATATTAATTCCATGAATAAAGATCTAGATATTTTAAATATGACTCACGCTTGTACTGAACCAACATTGATAATAGCTTCATCTTTAGGAATATTTATTTTTTTTTAATTCACATGATATTTTTAATGTATCTTAATCAAACTTCTGATTAGTTAGTTACGATTATTGTCTAAGATCATCTGTTTGACAAGATATTCGCTATAATCTGACTTAACATATTTCGAATTTATCGAATCAAAGAATTGTTTTTCTATGAACTAAGACTAAAAGAAAATTAATAACTGTAAAGCTACACAAATTAGAAGAAGATTGAAGTTTCAAGTTTGACATTAAATTCAATATACAATGTTTCACTGTGATAACCATTTGCTGCTCGTATTTATTCTCGTGATAATAGATGACATTTTTATTAGCATACAGTTAAAAATTATTCTCTAGTATTGTCAATAAGGTTTTAATATCTCACTGTTTGGGTCTATTCAGATATCATGTGATCAAATTTCATATTTCTAGACATCTTCCAATATAGCTTTTTAGCCTAAAATATCCAATTAAAAAAGACAATAACCTTAGATTAGAAGTTAAACAATCTATTGGAATCTTATTTCATCGAATTGTTTGATGAGTTAGAGCATTTCTTTATGTCTTCAGATTGCAAACGTTGTTATCTTTCATATTAAATCCTTTTCCCCTGTTTCTTCACCAATAAAAAAAAAAATAGATACCGTCAGCCAACTAAATTATTGATGCTTGTTCTGCCACTTGAAAGGGTACCTATCTAATTAAATCCTATGGACATTAGACAGCTCAAGCTTTTTCTGAGACATATACAAAATATAGATAAGTCTCAAATAAAATCATACTACATTTTCTTTTTTTTACATCGAAATCAATTTATCCGAATCTATACGTCCATTCGATACAGTGGAATCTGTCACAGATGTTAAACTTAAAATTTGAATTCAATTACTCAAGACTTAAATTTGGTGTGGGTGTGGGTGGGGGTGGGATCGGTGTAGGTGTAGGTGTGTATGCATGCGAACGGAAAGAAGACAGCATCCACACCCACACCCACACCCTCACTCGATTTTCCATTATGATTAAAGATGCATGGTTCTCACAGGGTTATAAAAGTTAAGAACTTGACAGATGCAAAAATGTTCGAGATATATGCTTCTCTTCGACAAATCTACCAGTTCTATTCTTGGATGTAATGAACAGATCTTTATATGCTGCAACTGGTGCGATGAAAGTTGATATTTTCAATATTTTTTTCGTCGAGAATCTAAAACGTTTTTAGTTTATTTCTTTATACTTTCTCCATCTTTTTGATTTTACTGCTCCATATAAACTTGATAATGATTAGCAAATTGTCGAAAAATGAAAAGCTTCAATGAAGCGAATACTTAGATAAAAATCAAATACAAAACTACTATTTTTGACAGAGATATAGCTTGAAAAAAAAATGAATCTTATTTATTTTCTAGAATTGATTTCTAAAAAACAAATGATAATTTTAGCGAACTTTCAAAAAGATTAAAAAAAAAACAAATAGAAAAACTTTATAATATAGCTACAGATTAGCAGAGTAGGGTCGACACCTGAAAAAACTTATGTCTTATTTTTCCTTAAACTTAAACGATGGCAGCTACGATATTCATATTTGAGATACTCATAGATGATTCTATAGGATAGAAGGTTTTGAATCTCTCTTGGCGTGGATACATTTAAATATGTTTCCTCGTAAGAATTGAGACTCCTACATATACTAGTCATCTAACATGAAAACATTGAAAAATATATCGTATTTTCTGAATGACAATCAAAATTAGATTAGAAAATTTTATTAAAAGAAGTCAGAGTAGAGTTCAAGTCGAGAGCCCACAAAACAGAACAAAAAACAAAAAAAATTAATCAATTTCAGATCTGAAACTCTTGATTGATCGGGTGTGGATCCCGATTCGAGTTCAGAAAAAGTAATTTGACTAGATCCGGATCGCGTCAGACTTCAGAAATTCTTGGATTCGCTGGGCTACGCCGCACACCGATACCTAAAATGTCATTTTTTGGGAGACGTCCTTTATCAATGACTCCTAAAAGAAAAAAATATTAACATTCAAGATGAAGTATTAATTATTTCTTTAGTTTTTCGTTTTTTTTTAAACAAAAGCATATTTAGATTAATTTACTTCAATTATGTCAACATGAAAATATTATTCGATTTTATGGTTCTGTAGAATCTGCTACAAATCATCAAATATATCTTGAATATGTTGCTGGTGGTTCACTATTGAACAAAATTGGTTCGAGAGTAATCATAGAAATATTAAAAAACAAAAATTTTTTTCTTTCTTAGGATGTGATGGTAGTCTTCGAGAAGGTGTTGCACAACATTATTTCAAACAACTTATTACTGAAATGGTAGAAATTGATTTAAAAAGAAACAAGAATTTCTTAGACTTTTGTTTTGTAGGCTTATATCCATAGTCTTGGTGTTGTACATAGAGGTTTGAGAATTATTTAATAAAATTTATAAATTTCTTTTTTTTTTAATTAGATCTTAAACCACAGAATATTCTTATCGGACATAGTAGTAAAATAATAATGAATAAAAAGAAAAGAAATATTCTTTTTTTTTAACTAGATCTGATCAAAATAATCGATTTTGGATTGGCGAGTTTGTTTCGAAATGAAACAACTCATGACGAAAAATTATTGACGACCTATTATGGCACAAGATCTTATATGTCACCGCAGGTAAATTGATTCTAATGAAGATGAATAAAATGTGATAATAATTTTCTTTTAGGTTTACTCTCGATTACCCTATCGGGGTGAACCTGCTGATATATGGTCTTCTGCCATTATTCTAATATTTATGTTGGTCGGAAGTAAATATTATCATAACATTTGGTTTTTTTTGTATTTTATTTTGTTTTGTTTAAGATTTACCATGGACCGAAGCATCTCATAAAGATCGTAATTGTCAACTATGGTTCCACGGTCGATATAACAATCATTCATGGAAAAATATACAAAACACTATATTTGACCTTCTTCGTCAGATGTTAATCTATGATCCTGAACAACGTGCAACAATAAAAGACATAAAAAATCATCAATGGATGTCTAAAAGTTATGAAAAAGGTAATATCATATTGTATTGATTAAAGGACATGATCTATATTTAGATGAACGTATTAAAGAAGTTTTTATAGAATTTTCAAATTCAAATTCACCATCGTCATATTAAAAAGCCAAAAAAATAATCATAATTAGGTATCAACAATATATATACTTGAACCAACAGCAGAATGTGAAACTCATAATCGTTTATCAACTAAAAATGATATTAATGAAAATAATTTGCTATCGACAAAACGACAATGAAAAGACAAAACATTGAATAAATGATGTTTAAACAATGAATATTCTAATCAAGATCCATTGATAAACTTACTCAAATTGATAAATGGCAAAAAAAAGTTTATTTGAACGTTTTAATAGCGAAATTATTTTTAAAAATTTTGCAAGTTATTTTGCATATAAACAATTACAATATTGATCAGATAATCCATTTCCTTGTGCAAAATATGCTGAACAAAAAAAAAGAATAAATCTAATTTTTTTTTGTGCATGTTACACAACAACCTCACGAATTTCTCATCAACAGTTCTTTTGTATTTAAAATT